CCCTGCTGAAGAAGCAAGTGCTTGGGATGGGAGACGGAGGATGGGCCCGAGGATTTAGAGGATTTAAAAGCATGCAATGTGGGCCAGCAACGTGCATGGCTCAGGCCCCACTGGTAGAGGGGAGAACTGGTTCTCCCAAGTTGTTCTCTGACCTCCATATATGTGACATGATTTGCGCCCCACACCTCAAAAAGAAAAAACAAACATTAAAACACGTGCCATGCCCATAGTATTCCCTAAAGCGTTTGACACCGGGGCTCTGTAACCACTTGTGAAGTACATGGTTTACCGGTTCCATTTTACGGATAAAGACACTGAGGCCCGTGTTGAAATGTCTCGGCAGGGAAAACCTGATTTGTGTTCACAGAGCTGGCTTTCCAGAGCAGGCCTTCTGACTCAGTGTTCTTGGCTCCATTCTGGTTTATGCTGTGCTGAGAGAAGGCGTGGGGGGTGGGGGTGGGGCAAATCCTGGAGTCTGGGGCTCAAATTTTCCCAGACAATCATGGAAAAGAAGTGGCGTTTCTTTTGTTTTGTATATGTAAATATTTCCCATATATTTATTTATTTGTGTTGCGCTGGGCTCTTGTGCATGTTAGGCAGATGCTCTGCCAGTGAACCTAGGGAGAAAAACTGACCCTCTTGGTCTCTGGACTCTTCAGGGAATAGGTTCCTGCCTTGGAAAAGAGGTCCTACTCTCTAGCTTGAACCATGCCTTCCACTCAGGCTCCAGCTTGCCCTATCTCTCTTCTCCTTACCTCCCTTCACCTCCTTTCTCTTTCTAGATACAAGGTCTCATTATGTAGCCTTAGACAGTTCTGAACTCTTAATTCCTCCTGCTTCCATTTCCTTCACACTGGAACGACAGGCTATTGCTATCCCATCAGGGAGTGCGCTCTTCCTGCGAACGTGTGAAGTCCAGAGAGTCTCCAGCACACATGGGAGGTTGGTGACCATTCCACACAGTGAATTCAGTCTCACAGTGTGTGTGTGTGTGTGTGTGTGTGTGTGTGTGTGTGTGTGTGTGTGTGTGAGACTGTGGGGAAATCAGTGAATTTAAAACACACAAGCTGGGCAATGGTGGCACAGGCTTTTAATCCCAGCACTCTGAAGGCAAAGGCAAGTAGATCTCTGAGTTTGAGGCCAGCCTGGTCTACAGAGAGAGTTCTAGGACAGCCAGGGCTCACAGAGAAACCATGTCTCAAAAACAAAAACAAACAAACAAAAAAAACCCTCCAACAACAAAAACCACAGTACATGACGAAGAAATACTTATAAACTAGGTACGTGGGCCAAGAAACAGAGCTTCCCCGGCACCCCTTGAGGGACCCTCTTGGATTGTGACCCTCCCTCCACAGACACCCTGGCTTGGCACTTGATTTCCATGCTTTTCCTTCTAGTTTTCCTACCTCTGACTGCTGCTTCTGTCTTCTGGGGACTTTAACATGAACGGAACCACACTAGCCTTAAGCTCTTGTTACTTTGAGGCAGGGTTTCACTCTATAACCCAGGCTGCCCTCAGACCCATGACCTTCCCGCCTCAATCTCCCAAGTGCTGGGATTACAGACCTGGGCTACTGCATCAAGCTGTCCTCCGTCTTCCTGCTTCCCACATTGGATATTTGTGTCCCAGCATCCTGTTAGAGTCCCCTCATGCAGGACTCTGCTGCTCTGGCCTCTGGACTTTCCCTGGATCTGCAGCTTCTCTCCCAGTCTCACGCTGTTGGTAGGGTTTGCTCCAAGACACGGATAGATTCCTGCGAAGTGTGAACATGGCATACAGCACAGGGCTGGTGCTTGCTAAACAATTTGTGAACACAAACTAAATAAATAAGAGAAAATGAGTGTGTGTGTGTGTGTGGTGGGGATTATGAGTTTGTCACTTCTATCAGAAATCCCAGTGGCAGGGGTTCCATTGAAGCCCTAGGGTGACATTCAAGAGACAGGTTTCTGCCAAAAGTCCCTGCTGCCTCCCTTCCCTCGTGCCGTTCCTCCCAGAGGCTGTCAGCTTGGGTGCTGGCCTTTCCCCCAGTGCAGCCAGGTGGAGCACACCAGCTTGGAGACCCGGTCAGTCTGAATTCTAAGCCTGCCTCCACCCTGCAGTGACTTGGACAAGTAAAACTCCACCATGTCTCAGTTTCCTCATCTGTGAAGTAACCCAATAATAACAAGCCAGGCCTCCAAGGACTGTGAAGATTCAGTCAGTTTCCCAGTAACCGCATGCAGTCTGGGGTTCCTAGAGCCACACTCCCCACTCTGCTCACCTACTGAACCTGCCTGGTGCCAGACCCAACCTGATTTAAAAGGTTTTTGTATTCTGGGTGTGGTAGCACATGCCTGTCACTCAGGAGACTGAGGCAGGAGGATCAAAGGTTCAGGGCTTGGGGTATGACTCAGTGGCTAGAATGCTTGCTGTGAAAGCAATAGGACTTGAGTTCGAATCCCCAGCACCTATGTAAAAGCTGGGCATTCCACTAACCCCAGTGTTGGGACGGGGGTGGAGATGGGCAGCTCTGGGGAACTCTTACTGTCCAGCCTGTCTAGTCAAAATGGCAAGATTCGGGTTCTGTAAGAGGTCTTATCTCAAAGAGAGAAAAAAGAGATGGAGAATAATGATAGAATATTGACACCTAATATACTATGGGTGTGCATGGGTAGTCACACACCCCATGAATGTGCCAGGCTAGCCTGGGCTCCATAGTGAGACCCTGTCTCAAGAAACAAAAGTTGAGGATGAAGCTCGGCTCACCGGATGGAATACTGACCTAGAATACAAAAAGCCCTGAGTATGATTCCCAGCACCACATAAAGCCGGGTGTTATGGCACAAGCTGATAACTCTAGCACTTGAGAAAAGCAGAGGCAGGGGGATCAGAAGTTCAAAAGCAGCTTCAGCTAGTTTTGAGGCCAGCCTGGTCTACATGGGACTCTGTTTCAAAAGCAGAGCAAATAATAAAAGTCCAGGAGGATGGTCCTGTTATGATGTCACTGAGCCCAGAGGACTGCAAGGCTGGAGGTGTCACTCCAGGTGGTAGAATTCATGCAGGGACAAAGCCAGGCTTATCCAGCTCCTCATTCCCATAGGCAGCGTCTGACACTGTGTCCTGCATCCTGAGATGTTTACGACAACTTGGATTCTTCAGCCACTCCTAAAGTCACCTTCAGGTCCTCCTGTGTCCTCTGAGGGTCTCGTTGGGTGGCATGCGGAATGCCTTCACACTCAGGATCTCAGCGAAGCCCCACCCTGTCAGGTGGGGCAAGTATTTCTGTCCCCATTTCACAGATGAAGAAACCAGTACTCAGAGTGGCCTAGGGCCTTGCCTGGCATTGCACAATGAAGTGGAAGAACTGGGATTAGAACCCCAGCCTCTTGACTCTGGGGACCAGTTCTCTGGGTTGTCCTGGAATATCCCGATAGACTCTTAAGTACACAAAGAAGGAGACACGGAAGAGAGACCAATGGCCAGCTGCTGATGGGTCTCTCTGGGACATGCAAGAGAATTGGTGGTGGCCTGAGCAAAGCCAGACCCCTGCAAACAGACAGGGCAATGAACGGAGTCAAACCTTGGAGTAAAACAAGCAGCTGGTCCCACAATGTAGGTGGGAGGTCAGAATTTGTCTGCAAACCCATAAGGGGCTGCTCACTAAATCTGTGGGATTGGTTTGTTTGTTTGTTTTGTTTTTTAAAGACAGGGTTTCTCTGTGTAGTCCTGACCGTTCTGGAACTCGCTTTGTGACCAGGCTGGCCTTGAACTCACAGAGACCCCCTGCCTCTGCTGGGACTAAAGGTGTGCACCACTGCCTTCTGGCCTATGTGATGGTTTTATTTTGCTTTGTTTTCTGGGGGTTGGGGATAGAACCCAGGGCTACGTGTCTTCTAGGCAACCAATCTAGCATTTGACTATACTCCAACCCCTAGTACTCTGTGATTTTAAAATATCTATTTTTTTGTTTTTACATTTATTTGTGAGTGTATGTGTTTATGTGTGTGTCCTCACGCTTGCGCATTTGCCCTGCCTCCCCACCCCCACCCCTCCCGCCGCCCCGCTTCCATTCCATCACTGCTGAGAACATCAGAGGCCAACTTTGGAAAACTGGCTCTCCTTCTACTATATGAATCCCAGGGATCAAACTCAGGTTGTCAGGCTTGGTGACAAGCATCTTTACTGCTTACTTCTCTGACCAGCCCTCTCTGACTTTTAAGGCTAGAATGCAAGACGGCATAATAGAAGCCACAGGAATGTAGACCCAGGTACCATAGAAGGCTATTTTTAATAATGTACTTTCTGAACAGCCCAAGTCCTTCCATGTCCCGGGTGCATCTCCTGTCCTCTGCTGCAGTGGGAAGCTGAGCTAAAGCTGGCTTCTTTCAGCATAGACACAGAGTCTGTCTCATTACTCTATGTCTGCAAGGCCCTGTCTCGAGGGGTTCTCATGGAGGCTGTGAGAAAGGACTGGGCTCTAGAGTTGGGGGCAGGAGACTTGAACCCCAGCTCTCTGGTTTATTAGCTAAGTGCTCCTGGACAGATAGCTTAGGGTTTCCAATTTTCACTTTTCTTATCTGTAGGATAGCATTAATATAATAATAACAGCTATGCTGTGCGCGAGATTATTAGAAGACGGAACAAAACACTGAGGGCCCAGCAGAGCGCTGGCCCATGGAAAGTCAGTAACATGTTTTTTTGTGGTGATGTGTATGTTTGGGGGCTGCATCATAGGCGAGAGGAATGTGCTGTGTGCCCACTAATGTTGTGTGAGTCTGTACTCTAAGTATCAGGAAAACAGCTAACTTAGTGGGACCAGGAAGCAGATTGAGTCAACATAGGAAACTGAGTGAAAAACAAACAACCCTCACTGAGGTCTCAGGGAGTTTCCTTGTCCCCTCCTGGGCGAGCATTGCACGCTCAGGTCTGGGACTGGGATGGAGTCTGTCCTGGGTCCTGGAGGATACTGGCATTTTCAGCCCTGTAAAGGTGGCAGGAATCCCCAGATGGTCCAGCCCACCCTGGAAACCCAGCCTCTGCAGAGCGTGGGGCTTGGAAAGTTCTGACTCGGTCACCACCTGCTTCAACCACAAAGCCCGAGCTTCCAAACCAGCAAGATGACGTGGCTTAGCCTGGAAGGTGGTGGTGGCCTCTGAGTGCCAGGCGCCCAGCAGGGCAGGGAGGGGCCCTTCGTAGCCTGTGGACAAGCCCTCAGCCTCCACCCTGTGGGGCTGCTCAACTACCATGGTCCCTGTGGCGTGTGTGTATGCCAGAGGTCAACATCACGAGTCTTTCTTAATCGTTGCACTGAACCTGGAGCTAAGTGCAGCTCTGCTGCTGGCCAGGGAGCCACGAACACTCCTGTCTCCTCCTGTCCACTGCTGGAATCATAGGCATGTGTGCTGTGTCAAGGTTTTACATGGATTCAAAGTCAGGTCTTCATGCTTGCATGGCTATGTCCCTGGTCCCTCAACAGCCATGGGCCTTAGAGCTAGAAGACACCTGAAATCCCTAGAACCAGAGGGTTTTGAATTCTGGAATCAGAAAAGATCGGAAGTTTGCATATTAATAAACAAACTCGATGGGAAAACTTTTCAGCACCATACTGTAGCTCAGGAGACACGTGAAGAAGCTGAGCCCAGGAGCAGACAAGACTGGCCTAAGCTGACATACTAAATGGGACGAAACCCCAGCTGTTTAGACTTTAGTACAGTGTGTCTTTAAGTTATATTTTTTCTTCTTTTTGAGTGTTGGGATTAAAGGTGTGTGCCACCACCACTCATATTTTGTTTGTTTGTTTTGTTTTATGACCCCTCCCCAACCAAGGTCTTACTTAGTAACCCTGGCTGTTCTTGAACTCACTACGTATACCAGGCTAGCCTTGAACTCACAGATATCTGCCTGCCTCTGACTCCCAAGTGCTGGGATTAAAGGTATGTGCTGCTACACCTGGTCTAAACCAGCTGTCTTTCAAAGCTCATTCCCTTGAAAGAGGCTAAGTTCACAGGGAGTCTTTCCTGGGTCTGTCAATCATGTGAGAATCAGTCAGTCTCCCCAACTTAGCAACCCCCTCAAAATGCTGATAAACCAAAAGAGGATTTTTTTTAATTTTTCAAAACTTGAATTTTTTTTGTAAGAATTGGTGGTGTTTGTTCATATATGTTTTTGTGCCCTACTTTGGTGCCTGCAGAGGTCAGAAAAGGTATAAGATCCCCTAGAACTGGAGTTACAGCTCTTTGTGAGCCTTCGTGTGGGTTCTGGGAATCAAACATGAGTCCTCTAGAAGAGCAGCCAGTGTTCTTAACTGCTGAGCCATCTCTCCAGCCTCCAAAAGAAATTCAAGTGTGGGATGTGGGCAGGTCTTTAAAGGTGAGCCTGGAACAGGTAGGTGTCTGGACCAAGCTCTCTCAAGGTCACTCAAGCACTTGCGCAGAAATAGATGTCCATGCAACGGGAAGCCGGGATCTTATTTGGAACACTTCGTTCATTGGCTCATGTGCCGAAGGCTTTGATGGTGCTCAGGCCTCTCCAAGGCAAGATGGAGGGTCTCACCAAAAGGCTTGGCCAACACCAGACAGTGAGTGCTTACAGAGGAGGATGCCAGGGAGGGGCCACCAAGAGGAGGGAGGGGTGGGGAGCTGTGTGAATCACACTCTCGGGCTCCCACCCCAGGGCCCAACTGCCATCAGAACTGGGCGCCAGAGGTTTCATGAACCCATGTGTCTGCGAGATGCTGTCTGTGACTGTGTAGCTGATTCCTGAGTAGCTGAGGCCATCTGACTAGTGTGTAACTGGATGTGGTGGGTGTGTAACAGAATGTGTGTGTGTGTGTGTGAGTGACTTCCTGTGACTTGGGCGTGGCTCGGCACGTAGTCGTGTGGGAGCGCTGCAGTGGTGGCTGCATGTGACCTTGTGGCTGTGTTTGTGCAACCATGTGCATAGAAACGAGTGTTGTCTGAGCCGTGTGTGTGTGTGTGTGTGTGTGTGTGTGTGTGTGTGTGTGAGAGTCCCAGAGAGAGGTTCTGAGAGCCAATGGGCGCTGGGCAGATGGAGACAGGGCTGGTTGTCAGCATAGCTGTGGTTTGTTGCTCATGATCCGCGTGTGACTGCATGGAGACAGGACCCTGAGATGTCCGCACGTGTGTCTGAGAGTCTGAATGCGCTTGCTTCAAGGTGACCATCGAGAAGCCACGGCCTGGTGGGTCTCTGGGTGTCATGGCCTCAAGCCAACCGCGTGTGTCACTGTGCGCTCCTTTGAGGGACTCACTTGGTCACTGTGTGACTGTGACTGTATGTGACACCTTCCTTAAGAGGCTTTGATGTGGTTGAATTTCTAGGGGCCATAAGGACGCTGCCTCACTCTTGAGGACTTCAAACGATGCTGCTGCCTTCTGCACAGCATGGGAAATCCCTGTCCCCACTCCCTCCTCCTCTCCGGTCCTTCAGGAGAGCCTGCTTGTTTTCTGTTTTTACTGCCTAGGGTGAGTTCATGGCCACAGCTGACTCATCTCTCTTTCCTAGAGACTTGGGGAAGGATTGTTGGGATTGCTTGGTTGGGGCTTTGCTTAAAAGCCTGGGCCTGGAAGTGCGGGTCAAGGACAACGTGGGTCTTGTAAGCACCAAGGTAGTTCTTTGAGCCTAGAAGGTCAAGTTGACTTTTTGGGTGTCACTATCTAGTTCTCATCCTCCAACCTCAAATCAGAAGCTTCTCTCCTTGCCCTGAAAGTTCCCCTTCTGGTCGTCACAGGCCACTAAAGGGTGCTGGAGCAGTTGGGTGCCATATACTTGTTCCCAGACCCATCTCCATAAGGATGATTCATAGTGCCCTGAGACAGCAGGAGCCTCAACAGTACTGTGTTGGCGCCCCCTATGGGTAGAGCCTGTTCTAGTGGAAGCAGGGAGAACTAGCCACATTTGATGGAGAAGACATAGTCCTTGCTCCCAAGCATCCTTAAAGTCTTCTAGGGGACTTGGAAATTCTCTCGGGACCCAGAACAAAGAAACTATACAGTTTTCTGGACCGGGAGGGATGTTCTAAAGGCTTCTGGGAAGGACTTCAGGGCCCCTGGAACTCACTAGGAGGGAGAAGAATCCTGAAGGGTAACTGACTGGGACCTAGGAGGGAGAGAACAAATTCTTGGGAGGTCTGAAGGATTGAAGGCGAAGTGGAGAGACAGAAATTCTAGTTTTATGTGATGTGACACAGGAGGACTTGTACTAAGTCCAGTGTCCATGGCAGAAGAACTAACTCTACCTAAGCAGTCTATGGATGGGAAATAACCTTGGTGCCTACCTGGTGTCCCTCCTGCTGCAGCCAACATACAACCTATGTCTCATCGCCAAGATTGAATTTGGAAGCTAGAGTCTGCTTTCTCCCTTTGTCTTCACCTAGGTAACCAGTCCAACTATGCTTTGAACTAGCCTGTAGGCCCTACTCTCCCCATGTCCACCCTGAAGGGGTTTCTCCCAGGCCCTTGCCCTGCCAGTGGCTAAAGACATGAAAACTTCCGCCTCCGCCATCCTGGCTTGCTGCCCCTGCGGCTCCTTGCAGCTCCGGCTAACTCAGCAAATCAAACCCTCCACCTACCTGGCTCCAGCCCCAGACTCCCCTATTCTAACTTAGGGGTGTTGGGAGAACAGAAAAGTCAAGAGGTTGGGCTCTGGACAGTCCCTGGCTAAGATCCAACCTCAGTTTCCCAGTGGATGAAACAGAGAGCTGGTGCATGGCCCTCTGGGTTCCCAGGGCGGATAGGGAGGCTCCAGTGAGCTCATGGGTGTGCAGGCCCCAGTGAGCCATAAATAGTTCAGCACCCGTGGGAGGGAAGGGGCCATGTTATTCCAGCTGGGTTCAGCTGCCCACAGGGAGGCTAGCCAGTGGGGTTGGGGAATGGGAAGGGTCTCTGAGTCAGGTGTCAAGAATGGTAGAATCCAGGCTGGCACCTCACTGAATGCTGCTAGGTATAGGTCAGACCCTCCACGTACCAGGACAGCTGCAGAATCTATGGGATGGAGACTATGGGCAGGTCATGTAGCTATGTGACTGATGAAGCTGCTTTACAGAGAGGGACTGTGCCCAGAACCCCGAGATCGCCCGTGTCACCACTTAGCCTCCGAGCCCTCTGCCATACACGCCTATCATCCCAGAACTCAGGAAGCTGAGGCAGGAGTACTTAAAGTTCCAGGCCAGCCTGAGCCACATAATGAGTTCAAGGCCAACCTGGGCTACATAATGAGTTCAAGGCCAGCCTAAAACATAATGAGACCCTGTCTTCAAAATAGTAATTAACTAATTAAAAAATTAAATAAAAGCCAAAGGAAATTCTGGAGCTACAACCAGTTCGTTCAGAAGCTCTTGTTACCTTTCTCTAGGCTGTTAAAAAAAAAAAAAAAGATCCTAGCACCCTCTCCTTCTTCAAATGGGCAAATCAGGGCATTCCCCGCCAAGCTCCTCCCTGACCATCAGTCAGGGCACTGTTACCCAACTTCACCATCCTGGCCTTCCACTGTGGAGCCTTTGAGCAGGCTGCACCCCAGAATGCCTCCCCCCCAAACCTTGCCCTGCCAACTTCCAGCCACATGATGTTGGGCAAGCCACAACAGCTCTTTGAGCCCCCATCTTCCCATCTGTAAAATGGGATTGCTACTACCCCGCAGGGTGGGGGGGGGCTAAGGAGTGGCTTATGGAGTACCAAGTCCAGTTTCTGGTGCCAGGAGGCCCAGTTCCTCATGCCTCCAGGAGCCTTTCCCACACCCGCTCCCCTGCCGTATGTATGGCTCTAGAGTGTAGATGGTTTGTTATTTACTGAGCCGTGTAGGTTTAATGCTGGCACAAATTTTAGGAAAGTCTAGGAGGGATTCTGTGCCCACTTGGAAAGAGATGCCAGTCTGGGTCTAAGAGGTGACGTTTGTAGACGTAGAAATAGCCAGTCACTTTGACACACAGCTATTGTGCCTGGCTGGGGCAGAAAGAACAGTTGGAACAGAAGCAAACCCAGGAAGGCTTCCTGGAGAAGGGATTTTGCAAGCCCAGTCAAGTAACAAGGGGTACAAGAAGGGCAGCTTGGCCAAGAGCATGACAGGGGGACACAGTAGAGAAAGAGGGAGTTGGAGACAGAATTGGAAAGATGGGGATGTGCCCTGGAAACCCCTGGGAGCCAGGCAGAGGCGCGTCCATGAGCGTAGGAAAGAGGAACGAAAAGCAGGCTTTTGAACAGGGGAGTAAAGGTCGAACCAGCCTCTCGTTTAT